CCACACTGTTCCTCTAGCATCAACAAAGGTACTGCCCGGCCCCTTCTCACGTTTCCTGTCTAACCTTTGGAACTGTTCTTGTCCATTCGGTCCCATATGGAGACCAAACCCAAACCCAACTCACTGCCATCGAGTCAATGCTGACTCATGGCTGCCCTGCAGGGCAGGGTAAAACTGCCCCTCTGGGTTTCCGAGACTGTACCTCTTTACGGGAGTAGAAAGCCTGACCTTTCTCCCACAGAGCGATGGTGGTTTTGAACCGCGGACCTCGTGGTTAGCAGCCCACCGTGTAATCATGACGGCAACAGGGCTCTTCCCAATATGGATAGCTCTTGAAAATGCAAAATGCGAGCCATTTAATAAGATTAATATTAATGTCCTCCGAGTACCAAATCTTAGTCTCAGTAGTTGTCATTGAGCGGACTACCAACACATCACAGCGACCCCACAGGACGGAGCAGAACGACGCCACCGCGTTTTCCTTGCTTCTCATCTTACGGAAGCAGACCACCAGAACGCACCAGCACTGCTGGGTGGGTTCGGACCACCCGTTCTTAGGTCAGCAGCCAATTGAAAACCATCCGCATCAGCGGCTCCTCAGCAGCGTGTCATCCTGTGTTTGTGACATGTAAGCATCATGTGGGGTAGGTGTTAGAGCCTCACAACCTCCCTTCCTCTCTGAATCCATAGACTTCCTACTGTGACTCCGTCGTTCATTCCATTAAGAGAGCATTCCACCACCCCCAACCTTTTTTGCTTAGGCACCCTGGTGCTTAAAGCACCCCCTTAACCTCAGGGGTGATGGTTTAAACAGCAATCTCTGTGGGAAGAAGATGCAGCAGTGCGCTCCACAAAGATTACAACCTTGGGAGCCCTAGGGGGCTCCAGGCTGTGCTTCAGGGTCACTAGGAGTGGGAGTTGGATTCCTGGTAGTGGGTTGGCTTTGGTGGAAAGCCTTAATAGGAGCCTTAGTGGCATTGTGCTCAAGGGTTCAGCTGCAAACCAAAGGTCAGTGGTTCAAGCCCACCAGCTGCTGTGCAGGAGAAAGATGTGACCACTTCTTCCATAAAGCATACAGCCTTGGAAACCCCACAGGGAAGGTCTCCATTGCCATGGTGTTGCTGTGAGTTGGGATTGCCTGAATGCCCAGGGGTATATGTTTGGGAGTAAACTAATTATGCAATAATGGAGTCCTGGTGGTGTAGTGGTTATGCATTGGGCTGCAATCCCCATGGTCGGCAGTTCAAAGCTACTAGCAGCTCCGAGGGAGAAAGACTGGGCTTTCTAGGCCTGTAACCAGTTAGATTCTAGGAAACCCACAGGGAGTCGCTATTGAGTCAGCATGGACTCAAGGACAGTGAGAGAGAGGATTATGCAACAAGGAATCCTGGGAAGGTACAAATCAACAAGGTCAAGTCAACAAGGTCAAGTCAACAAAGGTACTCTTGTACAAATCAGGTGATCTGCTGAAAACAAGCCAAGACAACAGCCAGGGAGAAACTGTGCGGAGCACAGCTTTGCCCCAAGAGCGCGAGCATCCCCACCCCGGCTGAGTGAGACAGACTCCGTGACCATTGGTTGGTTGGTTTTTTGGAGTAGGCCCAACCACTCTGACCTTACTTGGGGAGTTGGATGCCATGTGTATCTTACATTCTCTCTTTCTACCCATCTGTGCCCTGTCTCCTACCACCCACAAAGACTTCACCCTGCCCGAGGATACACACCCAAGATTCTCCAAGCGGCAGTTGGGATGGGCCACGGCTTCGCACAACACCTTCATACCCTCATCTTGTATGTCGTTTTCCCCAATGTCCAGATTGATCATGTTTGGTTTGCTGACGAGAACCGCGGCGATGTTTCGACAGTGCTCGCTGGAGAGGAGACATTTCGACAGACTGCAAAGCAAAGCAAAAGGAAACCCCGGATGTGATGCTCCAGCGTGCACAGGCATTGTACATGGTCTTAGGAAAGGCTAGGTCCCTGGGGGGCGCACAAGGTGCACCCTCCACCACGAGGCGAAACCTTGGCAATGTGACCTGCTTGTGCTGTGGAAGAAATGCCAATAATTTGGTGCTGTTTTCAGTCTAGAAAACCTGGGGACCCTCTACGACTCTGGGTCACTCACTGCCAGTGAGTTGATTCTGACTCACAGGGGACCCTTCGGGACAGAGGAGCACTGCTGGTGGTGTCGATGTACATTGGCATCGACCTGGTGGCACACACGAGCCAACAAGGAACATCCTTAGGGAAGGCCAATCGTGAGGAGGACCTCGTGGATTGGGAACACGCAGGATCAACGAAAAGGAGGGAAAACAGTCCATGAGATGGGTTGATCCAATCGCTGCGGCCAACCAACCCGCCCTCACTGCCACTGAGTCGATGCCAACTCAGAGGGACACTACAGGACAGGGTAGAACTGCCCCTGGGGGTTTCCAAGGTGGTAACTTTTGACGGAAGGAGAAAGCCTGATTTTGCTCCTGCAGAGCAGATGGTAGCTTCGAACTGCTGACCTTGTGGCTAAGGGGTCACTAAACTACCAGGGTGTATTCCGACAACACCAGCGATCATGAACATGGTGCAGGACTGGACAACATCGCCCATAAATCTACTATTAGTTGAGTCAATTCAGTGGCAACTAATAAAATTTCTAGTTTGTTGGCTATGAATAAAGGAGTCGGGGTGGGGAATATGGGGTGAGGAGGAAGGGGAGAGGGAGAGGGGGAGAGAGGGTGTGAGGAGAAGTAAGAGGGAGGGAGAGAGAGAGGGGGACAGAGATTGAGGGAGTTGTATTACTTGGAGCTGAGGGAAGGTTTTACGATGGATAGGATCTTTCTTACACATTCTAGGACATGGATACATTTCAGCAGGTGGGGAAAGAGCTGCAATTCCAGAGGGAAGAGTGAGCCCAGAGGACAGGGAGCAAACGTGGGAATCAATGTGGGAAAGCAGTGGCTCTTCCGAAAGGAATAAGGGCGTTAGAGAGTCACGGTGGCGTCACGGTGCTTGGGTCGGCAGTTCAAGACAAGCCAGCTGGGTAAAGATGGGACTTCCTACTTCTGTAAAGAGCTGCCGTCCTGGAAATCCACAGGGGCAGTTCTACCCTGTTCTTAAAGGACCGCTCTCAGTCTCAATCTACTCAACGGCAGTGGGGTTGGGGAGTTTACCAATCCACACGTTTTCTTCTAATGGTTGGTCTTTCCTGATGTTCGTTGCTGTTGCTACTGGTGGCCACGTCAATTCCAACGAGTAGGGACATCACATGCTGTCACAGCAGAGAGCTGCCTCACAAGGGTGTTCTAGGCTGCCGTGTTCACGGGCGAGCAGATCACCAGCTCCATAGACGGAGAGCCACCAACCTTCTGGGCAGCAGTTGGATAACTGACTGTTGCACAGCGGGGCTCTGTTTCGCAATACAGTGAACCCTCGCCACTTCGCGCTTCGACGTCCGCGGCTTCACTCTATCGCGGTTTTTGCGTAACAGCACGTGCTCTGTCATGACTGCCACTGATTGGCTCATACTGTACACGCTTGATGCCATAAATAATATAATAAATAATAAATGATAATTGTAATGTCTAAAATGTTTTACTGTATTTTCCCTTTTTTGTTTAATAAATTGGGTAATACGAGTGTCATGGTGACTGAAGGGTGTTTTTTCATGTCCTCTATGCTCTAACTACGAAAATATTTGATTTACAAATAAGGAATCCTACTTCGCGGAATTTCATTTATCACGGTAGGGTCTAGAACCGATTAACCGCGATAAACGAGGGTTCACTGTACATTTAACGTGTGACGTCAAAGCCAATGTACACATTTGTTCACGCAAACCTAGAGCTCCAAGGACCCAGGTGAAGCGTTTTCTCATCTTTACATTCTTAGGTGCAAATACTTCATCCAAGTGTCTTCTCGGTGGCCTGTGCCCGCCCCGAGCTCTTACAAGGAGGCCCAGTTTACAAACGGGCCGGCCACCAAGCACCTACCACAGGGACTCCAGGATGCAGTTTGGGTGTCTCATGGCCTCACAGAGTTGCTTCAAATCATGGTCTTTCACGATATTTGCACTGACATCCAAATGCACCAGCTTTTTACTGCACAGGAGAACTTCACACAGGTTCTCCCAGAAGGGTTCACGGATGTTGCAGCCAGCCACCCTGGGAGGACAAACACGTGAGAAAATGAGGACAAGGGAAGGAGCGAGAGGATGCTTGAGACAGACCTCCTCTTGTCAAACTCGTCACCAACTCCACCACCCCCGCTCCTCCCTCGGCACGACGTCTCTGCTGGGTTTGAGCATTCATTGCGACGGCCGCACAGAACCCACAGAGACTCAAGGGATGGGGTGCATTAGGGAGGCAACAGGTTCCAAATCAGGCTCAAAAATGCTAGGGGTACAGTTCTTCAGTTAGGATTGCTTGCCTCTCACTGGCTCTTGGCCCATCAGCAGAGTCCCTGCCCTGCTCAGGAAGTTGTTACAAATCTCTCTAGTTCTACACGTGCTCAGACACCCAACCCTCGTGGTAAGCCTTGCCCCCCAAAGTCTCAGTTCTTTCATTCCATGAGCTGGCAAGCCTTGCTCTGCCACATGGCCAGAGGCGCCCCTGCCTGAAGCCGCTCAGCTCTTACTTCCTGTGACGGCAAGCCCTCTGAGCTCTCTCTCTTGCCGCCCCCCCTCCAGTTCTGCTGCCACTGTTTCTCTATTTGGTTTGCTACTTCCCCTCTCTGCTGTTACAGTCCTTTCTCCTAAAGTCTAGACCCTCAGCACCGGGATTTGAGGTCCAAATCATATTCTCCACTCCTGCCCATTCTTTCTCGATTGTAGTCAGGTGCCCTTTTCTCGGCCTTTGAGGCAACTCGTTTTTAGCCTAGTGGAGTGATAAAGCTGACCGATCCCCTCATTTGACTTCATGTACTACTTTGCATGGCCCCATTCCACCCTATTTGCATTATCAGCAAGCCGTCCGATCCCCTCAGTGGACAAGCATCTTCGTTGCGTACTCAGACGGGCAACGGGAAATACTCTCGCAAAGATGGACTGCCAGCCGTGGCTGCCACACGGGGTCCCGCACGACTGTGTGGGGACCCGGCAGCGTTGGCTTCTGTTGGCCGTTGGGCCACTCAGAGTCTGAAGGGACCAGATGCCACCTATCACCCCATCCTTTTGGTGGCGTTAAAGAACACCGGAGAAGGGCCGTACGAAGTCATTCACTGCACTGCAGGCACGTATAATCCCGTCTTGCTTTTCTAAACCCAATGGGACCATCTCTGCCTCCGTCCGGCTTTGCTGCCTTGAGGATTTCATGTGATGACAGACAGTTACGAAGCAATCGGCCTTGTTGCTACTGGCTATCGGAGCCAACGCTTCTGGGTTCTGTTTTACTTTTTCTGCCGGCTTTTGGGCTGGGAAAGTTTTAAGGATTTTGTTTTCCATTTCTGTCAGCTGTATCTCTTTACGACACTATTTTAACGGAGGGCTTCTGCTTTATAATAGACACATGTCTTGAACGCACTACCGTCTCTCTTCAAGTGGCATTCGGTCATTTATGGAAGAACCTTACGGCTGCGTGTTTCCGTGGCTTCTCTCTTGGCCTTGGCCTTGGCCTTTTACTTCTGTGCGTTAGATATTTCATTGTACCATACTCAAGCAAACTCACTGTCAACTTGATTCTGATTCATGGCCGCCCGGCAGGACAGGGTTTCAGAGACCAACTCTCAACAGGAAGAGAAAGCCTGTCTTTCTCCTGTGGAGCCTCCGGTGGTTTTGAACTGCCGACTTTGAGCCGCAGTACGACGAGATTTTATGTTTGAACCAGGGGTTTCAGCACGTGCAAAGGTCCGGGTAGTAAGTTGGGTTTTGTGGGCTGTACAGTCTTGCTTGCACGAGTCCCCTAATTCATTCATTCATTCCCAGGATATCCTTCCATTCCCATAGTTAGAAAAACCCAGAAATCTAAACGGGGAAAAGTCTTCCACACCATTTCCTTGGCCCCCAGTTCTCTCGCCCACTGGCGGTCTTCATGGTCAACCTGACGTCTTCTCCAGGGGATATCTGAGTAGCTAAGGAGACCCTGTTTGCGGTTAGGTGCTGTCTAGTCGGGTTTGACGATAAAGCTCTCTTTGACTCTGAATCAATTCACAGGCAAAGAGGGATGCAGTAGGACTACTATCCCACAAGGTTTCGTAGACGATAAAGAGCTCCATGGAGCAAGGGCTAAGTGTTAGGCTGCTAATGTCAAGTCCAGTTGTCGGAACCCACAAATGACTCCATGGGAAATGAGACCTGGCGATCTGTTCCCATAAAGATGGAAACAAAACCATCAGCCAAGCGCACTGCTGTAGACTCCGCTCCAACTCACGGGAATCCTGTAGGACAGACGAGAACTGATGCCCAGGGTTTCCAAGGCTGTGGATTTTTTTTTTTG